ATCTTATGCAAAAATTCACAAATAAAACCTGAGCACGGGATTGGATAACTTATTGTATTGATTATTTTTTCTTTTATGTTTCTACAAGGAGTACGAATGGATAGGTAGGTAGATAAGCATATATATATATATATTTGTGTGTGTGTATTCGTAATTGTATCATCCATATGGGTTGGGAGATAGAAATCAATGAAGGAAGATCACTGTTTAACTAATTCTTTCTATTCTTTTTTATTAGGTTTGTTCATTATGTGGTTTGAATGATAAAATTTTTAATGAAACATAAAAGATTCAGTTTTGAGAAGAGATATACAAACTAATGAACATAATATTTTTTTTAAAAAAAGGAACTTGTAAGTCAAATAAACATTGTCTAATATTCACAGACAGAATAAAATGGAAACTGATAGAAGTCAATAAAGAAAACATGATTAGGGCAGGAGAATAATAAAACGCAACCAAATAACTGTCAACACCCTAATTAGGTAGTATTTGTAGTTGTAGTAGTAGTAGTAGTAGTAGTAGTAGTAGTAGTAGTAGTAGTAGTAGTAGTAGTAGTAGTAGCAGCAGCAATAGTAGTAGTACTTTTTATATCAATAGTATGCAATAATATTCACAAAAGTTTATAAATATTGCCACGTTCAACAATGACAGACAATTGGCGATATCATATACACATGAGCACACATATACACACACGCATGTACAGTACCATACCATATGGACATAAAGCACCTGATGTTGAGTTTGACAAAGACGAAATTCAAGTAATTTCTCGAATAAGAAGGTAAATAGGCTAGATCATGTTGAAGATAGATGAATAATAATAACAAGAATACTTTTTGCCTATTTGTATTATGAAGATTACACAAAAGTAATTTAGAAAAGTAACAACAACAGCAACAACATCGAGTAAACAGTGGCAAAAACAAAAAAAACAATACAAACGACATTTACAGTTATTGTGTTATTATAGAAAACCCTGAGAAAGAGAGAGACAGTCCTTACAAAGTAAAGCAATTGGAAAAAAAGAATGAAAACGGTTGTTGTTGTTTTTTCTTCTGTGTTTAACATGTACCTGATCATTATACAAATACAGACATGAATAGATAGATAATACCTGAAGAGAATTTTAAAAAAGTAACAAAGAACGTGGACTAGGTCAGTACTGTTGACACACACACACATAGGTACACGCAAAGAGAGAGAGTCAAATATAAAGAACGTGCATTGACAAGAAACCACATAGAGGAGATACGTTGGGAGAAATAAAAAGTGGCAAAATATACATATACCAAACAAGTGTTTATTTATAATAAACAACAAATAGAAAATAAACACCGAGAAAATGACACATTGACAACTGATTCATAGTTTAAATATTTGTTTACATACAAGAGAATTTCTCTAAAATGAATCGATCAATAGAAATTTAGTAGTTAGATAACGGAGGCGCTTTTCTGTCAACAATCAATAATACGGTAAAGAATATCTTAACAACGATATAAACAATAAGTGTTATTAGTACAATGGTATCAATAATAATAATAATAATAATAATAATAACAATAATAATAATAGTAATAGTAATAATAATAATAATAGTAATAATGATATATCCCTGTGTTATTGAATCTACACTGGGTTTATCTTTGTTAGTTAATGCTTCAGGGACAAAAAAACGAACAAACAAATGAATAAACAAACAGTTAAGCAACAAAAAATAAATAAAAAGTTTTGTTTTCTTTCATGAATGCAATAATAAGAGGCACATAAATAAGATGGAAGAACATAGAAAATGAAATTGAAAATTTGCTTTGTACGATTCTCTTTCAACATATGATAATATCCTGAGATGAAAAATGTATAATAATAATAATATTAATAATAGTAATAGACAAACCACTTGAGATACACACAACAAATGATTCACAGAAATACTACTAGGGACAATTGTTTAATGCTCTCTATAGACAAACAATGAAGGACAATAATGACGACAGTTATGAATAATCAATTTGGCGCTTGAAATAAACGAATAAGTAAGTGTCAAGAAGTCAGAAATATAATAGAGATGGAAAAGAAAAAAAATCTAAGATAATTTTAAGAGAATAAAAGTAGTATCAAAGATATACTGTTCCGACTAAAAGTGTTTGTGTGTGTGCGCGTGCGTGTACGCATATGTATATATAATGTAGACGTATACATCGGCGTGTACATTATAACATATATTTGTCAGACTACCTATCTATATTAACGTCCAACATTCATTTTATAAAAGATGATAAGATTGAATAGTAGTACAGTAACTGGAGAAAACAAATAAATTGTGGCATCATATAACATGACAATATAAACATAAGGAAAAAAGTCTTTCTTTTTGTTAAAACAGGGAGAAAAGAGAATTAATCAGATTTCCTTGACAACACTACATATATAAATATGTATACAACTGGTGAAGCAAAAAAAAAGAAAGAAATTATTAGTTTAAACTAAGTTCTGCTTTACCAATGAAGAATAAAATAGATAACTGATCAAATGAAACCATAAGAAGAGATTAATAGAAGGATAATATGATAGGTATTGTAATTATACCAAAACGTTGACAGTATCCAACGCGGGACAAATGAACACACACAAGCTATCATAACTGAAAATTACCAATCCAAAGCAGAAAGGGATTTTTTAATATCTAAATATATATATATATATATATATATATATAGTAAATAACAGTCGATAGGTGTATTATTAATAATACTAAATTGAAAAAGATAAATTGCCAGGAATATAAACATTCAAAAGACAAAATAACTTGACTTAAAAATAAACAATCGATATACATGTTAGTATGTGTATAAATACTTTCTATAATTTGTCCTGTGCGTTCATTTATTAAAAAGAGAAAAAAAAGAATTCAATAGTGATAGAAAGGAACACACACAGGTAGAGAGAAACATCAATATATAAAGAATATCATTGAGGGAAAACAACAATGTCTACAAACAAGAAAACAGAAAAACAAAATAGAGAAGAAATGTAACTCATGCTAATAATAACAGTAACAATCATGTAAATTATATGTTAAACCCTTGATAGATATTTCATACTTGATTTTCCCTGAGTTTAACAACAACAACAACAACGGATAAGAGATAAACATCATGTTCACTGTATTTCTGTAATTTGTTGTTGTATTTCTTTGATTATGCTTATACTTAACTATTCCAAGATGAACAAATCAAAATTAACCATTCTTTAAAGTGTATACATCTAATTGTAGTTAGTGTATGTACTTACTTGTGTGCTTTTGTTTTTGTGTGTGAGTGTGCATTAAATTAAAGAAACAAATACAAAAAAGGATCATTATTACTCTTCCGTTACCAATCCATATAATCATTAATTGTTTGATCTATCAGTTTTGTTAAAGAAAAATATATTGATATAAAATTGTTTAGAAATGGGTAAATAAATTGAATAATAATAATTGTAGTAGTTAAAGATTAGACAAAAAATGAGTTTGGTGAATGATAAAACACATATACATACATATATGTAAATAAATGGAAAAATGTAAATTCAACACTTGTACGTTGAGTAGTTCGAGTATACATATACATATATATATATATATATATATATATATATATATATATATATATATATATATATATATATATATATATATATTCAGGTATAAATGTACATGAGTATAAATGTAACAGAATAGAGAGTTATACACAATCAATAAAGGCGCTATAATTTAAGAATTTAAATGTAAATATTAAACAAATAACGTGCAAGATAACAATAATAAAATAACATAATCATTTGTAATGAAGAAGATAGAAAAACAATAATAACAATACGATGATATTTATCAATATAGACAGAAAATTTAAAGAAAGTATAATAGAAATTGAAAACAATTCCTATTGTCGTGTTACTACTCTATTATCAATACAATTAACAAATAGCAACCTGAATTAATTAAGGGAGAAATAGGGTGATTTAAAACTACATCAGTTTGTTTTGAAATCGTTGTCACATATTCTTTCACTCAATCACTCACTCACTCACCTACCTATCCGCTTATACACATGAAGTAATACACACACACACCGGGACATACAAACTATTCATAATCAGGAATAATAGTTGTAGTACCAGTAATAGTAATAGAAGAAAAATAAAATAAAATTAATAAATGTACAACAGATACTACTACTACTACCACTAACACTACTATTATTATTACTACTTTTAAGTAAGATCATATTTTCATTTTACCCGTAATAAACAATGTGTACATACAAAGGATCAAATGAATAATAGGTCAAAATAAACTGTAAATCATGTACACCTTTTAAAAAGATGAAATTCCCAATGTGAACTTAACGTGACAATAATAAATACATTAATAATAAAATAATAATAATAATAGTAAAGTGAAGAAAAGAAATGCTTTTCATATCTATAAAGTACAACTAATTATCGGATACACAAATTGTTATTAAATAAAAGTCATTAGTTTTTCACAGAAAATACACATATAAACATACAAAGCTGTGCAGTTATACATTCATAACAGTTTCCATATGGAATTCAGGCGCTTTTCTTTCGTTCTTTTTTAAAACTAAACAACAATGATCAATAATAACAGCGATCATAAGAAATGATAAGTAGCAAACTAAAATCAATTCAATGTGTGCAAATAGACAACATAATCCGAAGACAATGATGATGATAATAGTAATACAATAGAAATATTCTGTAATCATGTTGTGGTTTAGTAGGTGATTTTGAAGTATCATAGTAATATTAAGTAAACTGTATGATTAATGTTTGCTTTCTATTCCATAGTTCATTCAGACATAAATGCCTCTTTCATGAGATTATGAGTATTATATTCATATATATATATATATATATATATATATATATATATATATATATATATATATATATATATATATATATATATAAACCTGCCTGATCAATTATCGATTATCATCAGATTGATCATAATTAGTAGATTTAAGATCACGTTGTTCTTCTTCAGTTAATTGAAACATTTCAAGATATAATTGTGGAAATTCTAATTCTGGTCTATCTTGACGTAATTGAGCAATTACTTCATGATGTTCAATATTTAATTCTTCTAACATTGGTGAAATAAGTGATAATGCAGCACAACGTTCTTCTAATGAATATCCAACTAAACATAGAAAGAGACGCACAGAGTGAAAGAGAAAAAAGCAGATAGGTGGTAGAACCAATAAAAAAGAAATCTATCGTTTATATATATATATATATATATATATATATATATATATATATATATATATATATATACTAATATTTGACCACAAATGCCTTAGAAATATTGCTGGTATCTGCTGGGATCACCGGGTAAGTAATAGTGAGGTTAGACGAAGGGTATTAGGGAATGATGGTAGATCAGTTGATGAGGTTATGAATCTTCATCGACTAAGATGGTTGGGTCACGTGTTGCGTATGTCTGAACACCGATTACCACGACGCGCAATGCTAACCGCTGTTAGGGATAATTGAAAGTAAGTTAAGGGCGGCAAAACCAAAACGTGGCATCAGTGCTTGAAGTCACTAACTTCTTGTCTGAGCGATGTTGGTAGATGCAGACTACCTGGTTTGGGGTCCGCGTGACTATCGTAACCAATTGTTGGAGACCCTCGGTGACATGGCTCGGAATCGATCACAATGGCATCGGTGTATACACTCTCTGTCTTCCCTTAAACTATGAAATTAAAATCACTTCATATCTTTCTTTCTACGAACAAATTCTTTCTTCCTGTACTATCTCATTATATGCAATCTTTCTTCTATATATTACCACCACTGGATTAACTGCTTCTATGAATCCGGTGTTCATCTTGTTGTGCTAATGAGGTATGGCAACTTGGACCGTTGCATGCATGTGGCTGGTCCTACGTTGCAGCTGGCTGACTGACTGACTCCTCAACAGTGCGCATCCACGAGCCCACCTTTATTATTTATTTATTTATTTGAACACATAGATATTAGTACAAGGAGGCACCAAATACATATGCGTTACACAAACCTTAGGGGACCACACCTGGAGCCTTCGACCTAAAGGTCTAATCTACAAGGCAGTGAAGCATCATAAGGAGATGCGACCCCATGGTAGCCAGTGACCAACGATTGGTTCATACTCCATTTGTTCCCTCAGTATACTGGGGCCCATGTACACCTTTGGTTTGGAATCAGGATTTTTCAACTCCCCTAGGTGGACTCTCTATGTCAATCAACCCGGTTAAAAAGCCGGACATTCTCTTTTCGTCCTCTCGATTTCGTAGACAACACCCCCGCCACGAGAAGGCAATAAGTGACAGAATTTGGAGAGGGTGAGCGGACTCTCCTCACTCTCGGTCGTACAAGGGCAGTATGGGGCCCCAAATCGAAGCAGTTCGTTGGTTACCAGTTATTCTTTTTGTATCTGTATAAAGCTTTTATTCTACAAGTAGATATTCTGTTTAAACGAAATGAAAATATTCATTAATTCATTCCAATAATTCCAAACTAATAATTATCTTTAGACCCCACCTAGCGGGATTCTAACCCAGGACCTACGAGTCTCGCGCGCGAGTGCTTAACCACTAGACTACTGAGCCGACCGACATCCAACGGTGTTAATGTCTAACTTCAACTAATCCACGAAATTGAGCGACACATCCACTATTGTCATCAGTGAGTTACTATCTCACAAAGGACGAAACGGCCGTCCAGTGCTTCCAGGGTTTTTTATGATGGTCTAGATTAAATTGACTCATGATCTGAACTATCGAAACGATATAATTTATCAATATCTATTTATGCAAAAGTCAATTACACTACTTACCAGAAATAATATGTTCAGTAAGAGCTTGTCCAACTAAATTAAATAAATATGCTGGTGTCACAGGATCATCTAAACCTTGACGATCTATTTGAAATAACAAGAAAAAATGGTAATAAGTTATACGTACAAATTATAAAATAATTGAATAATTCCATGTTAAACGATCATTGTAAACTGATTCAAACACTAGGATTTACAGTTTGTAATTGGTAAAATTTATCAGAATGATGTAATAGTAGGTTGTTGGGCAAGACTAAAATTTATGGATGAACTAATCACGTATAAGATAACGGGTCTCGGATTTTGGCACGAGATTCATTCATCAAGTTTTGACATTATAACTGATGTCAGTTCGTGATGAAAACCCTAAATCTAATTCTGAACCTTAATCATCAACTGTAAATTATAATTATAATTCCTCACACTAATTTATAACCCTCATTTAATCCTAGTTATCAGATGCACACTCTCAAGGTCCCTCAAAGATCGTCCATAAATTATATTCTCACCGATTGTTGCTATATAAGTGATATCTATTCGAATCATTCATTACTCAAATATTATCTATTAAGCTTTTTAGACCATAGTATGGTAACAACATTGACTGAAACACTAATGAATGCAGCAAATATAAATTTCTTTAAAATGATACGAGAATATATTGATGATAAATTCTAATTAGAATGAAATACAGGTCAACCACTAAAAAAACTATGCCGTCATATAACATAACATATTTTTCAGGCTGTATTGATAAGATTAAATCTGTACTACATAAGATATTATGTAATTGGTGATTAATGTGAGGAAATAAATTATTGAATATATTTGCAATATAATATTCCCTCTTAAAATACATTCCATGATTATACTGAATTGAAACTCCTTATTATTAAATGACAACAAATGAGTTGGTATGATTTACTATGACAATGAAAGAAAAATCAAATTATATTGCAACCTGATTATCCCCGGGAAAAATGTCGATCATATACAACCCAATAAATATAAAATGACAACTTGATGCCATTAGTTCCTATAATAAAAAGATCTATCTTTCCGTTTATATTCTTCACTATCTGATTATTTACACACTTCCTACTACGTAATGATTTTAATATTTAGTGATGATTATTATAAGTCTATTTACCCACGTTTGACCTATTTCCAATGTTTAACTATTAATAAGACTTTTGTTATCGTATTTTATTAGTCTTGCCTACTATCAGTACACTTATCTTCCTACTATCAACTTGTACTTTTACCTATTATGTGCGGTGACGAAATCTATTTCATTGTGATTATTGACATAAATTACCTTGATTGGTTTAACATAATCAGAGAGGACAGTTGTTTTTTATGAATAAATAGTTTATGGAAAAGAGAACAGTAATATTGAAGTGTACTGATTTCACATAATTAATTAATCTCGCGAGGGACTGGATCGTGGATGCGCACTGCTGAGGAGTCCCATACTAGGACGAAACGCCCTTCCAGTGCTTCCAAGTTTTGCATGGTGGTCCAGCTTCAAATATTGTAATTGATTAATCTATTAATATCTGCTATACGTTAATAATAGTACATTTTAAAAAGAATAATGGATAAGCTGATTCTAATGGATATAGATTGTCCATCTTCTCGAACACAAATAAACTTTTAGGAGTTTTTACAATGTTTCAAGTTATGGTTAGATGTCTAGGTTTAGCGCTTGGGGGGGGTAGGGCTTTTATCACAAACTGACATATGAATGAATGGATTACGCTCAAAAATATAATAAGTTCCTTCTGATTAGTTCATCCATAGCGTGTAGCTCCATCAGGTGAAGGTTCATTTCGGGACTAAAGATTCGATTTTAGGATTTAGGGACAGTGTCGACTTGTCTATTAAATACAATTTAAAGAGACAGAATTAAAGACTTCATACATTTACCACCACGATAATTTTTCTTCATTATTCTAAACGTTTTCAGTAATATATAAAGGTATCTCTAATGTTCATGATCTTTGTACATGATCTTTAATTTTCGCGCAAAATACTAAGATTATGATTGGCTCGTCCTTAAACTAGACTTTTATCAATATTTATATTTAACGTAAATAAATAAGTAAATAACATGACCTTCGTTTTTATCCTTAATCCAGTCATTCTATTTTCATCGTCTACATTTATAAACATAGATGTATACACTTTTAGGATATAATAAAACAGCGTAAACAGTGTCTGATTTGTTTATTGACCTTGACCGAGAAAAATCCCAAACTGTTGTTGTGTACTGATAAATGAAAAAAAGAACAATACAGATAGGACAAACAAAGGACAGATGAAAATGAGAGCAATGGAGAGTGTGAATATGTAAAGCAAAAAAAAGACAACAGACAGCACAACAACGACGGTACAGTAACACGTGTATAAACATAAATTTATAGTCAGTATTGACGTCAACAATTAGACTAAATCCATGTCAAGGTCTTTTTAGCAATGAAATAATACGAAACACATGAAAAATCTAGACGTCTGACCCCATTGAAAGCCATATTGTATTAGTTAACAAAATTAGAATAAAAACGAAAACAGATTTAATTGAATAAACTAATTTACAATTACAAGATTCGAAGTAAACAACATTATATGATATGAGATGTACACTTAGCTTTTGATTGAGATTATAAACCAATCAATGATAGACCAGCGTTGGAAACCTAAAAGCACTGGAAGGCCGTTTCATCCTATTTTGGGACTCCTTAGCAGTGCGCATCCACCATCTCGAGCAACATCGTGGAATCGTTGATGTTAAACACTAACACCGTAGGATACCGGCTCAGCGATCTAGAGGTTAAGCGTTTGCGCGCGAGACTAAAGGTCCTGGGTTTGAATCCAGCGAGCGGTATCGTGGATGCGCACTGCTGAGTCCCACAATAGGACGAAACGGCCGTCCAGTGCTTCCAGGTTTTCAACGGTGGTCTAACATCAATCGGTTCATGATCTCAATCAATCACTTGGTATTGTTTTGCATGAATCTTCCCATTGCGGTTTAAAACTGCAATTTATCAATCTGTTATTGGCATATGTACATTCTGTGCGGATTGCCTCGATAGTGCCTTAATTCACAATCTTTATAAGCAAATAGGACGAAACGCGCGTCCCGGATTCCACTGCTAACCACTATCCATCTTTGCTTATAAAGCTTATAAATGAAGGTAATTATCGAGGCAATCTGCACAGTATGCATATATGCCAATAACAAACTGATCAGTTGCAGTCTTGAACTTCAATGGGAAGATTCAAGCAAAACAATACCAAGTGAATTATTGGATGAATAAAAATCGCTGGCTTTAATCTAGTTCCAGTTCAACATTTTCTTGTATTACAGAGAATACGCCTCAATAACTGATATTGTGATCGATATTTATTGAATGATAAGATCATCCACCGTTCTAGCAACATCTAGATATTTTTAGACCTCAATCATATATAAGGTCTTACATAAGCACTACATTGAAGTGTTTGATTTAAACAAGGAGGAAACAATTATTAATCAATATCTCCTATCTCAGTCGATATCAGTTTATGACGAAAACTATTTTGCCCTGTCTACATATATATAAAACATTGTCAGAAACAGAATATAAATCATGTTACGCAATCGTTTATAATTAGATTCATTCTCTTGAGGAAAATTAACCACAGTATACGTCACGAGAAGAAAGACAAACACAATAAAAACAAACTGCGTATTTCGTTTTTTAAAAGTAAATGAACATGCATATATATATATATATATATATATATATATATATATATATATATATATATATATATATATATATAACATTCTTCCGTTTTCTTATTAAGGGAAAACGAATAATAATGATTAAGTTTTTTTCTTTAAAACATGGAACGTATTGATTTTAATTCATTTATACTGGTTATTTGAACTCCGTAGCTAAGTTGATAAAACGATAGCGTTTGAAGTGAAAGGTGTTGCATTCCAGTTCCTGAGTCAATATCAACTGTAGGATGTAAATACATCCAGCCAATGAGTCCCAAATAGGATAAAACTGACGTTCTGGATTACACTGTCAGTCACCATCCACCTCTACTTAAAATAGAATGTACTGCCAAGTGCGATAGAAAGTGGGGTAGGCATGTATGCAGTAGTAGTGCTTGATAAGGACAAAATATCACATCAAATACAAGCGCCTATACGGAACACAGGTCTTCTGTATCGATCAGTATATGCTTTACTAAATGTTCATATTAATAATACTGAGAATGAACAAAAACAAAATAAATGTACTAACTAATTATTTTCTTTATTCATTATCTCTTGTTACATAACTAATAAAAATAAATGACATACGATGTACATAATTATATATAGTGACAATCAAATAGATGTCGGTAGGTAGATATGAAAGTAGATGAATAAAGTGGTTCTAAGAAAGACGATGAATAATTACATTAATCAACAATGGTAAACAATACAAGATATAAAATAGAACCAATGAAAGAGAAAAAGATTTAGAAATGGTAAGTAAGAATAATCTTCACGCAAGTAGATTGTTTTTCTATAGAATATACAAAAAAAATCTTTTAATTAACCAAAAAAATAATCAAATTTAGGTGAAAGTGGAAGAAAGAAAGAGAGAGAGGGGAATGGAGGGAGGGAGAAAGAGGCAATATTACTAGAAAGGATTACAAGATAAACAGGTATGATCAAAGGAAAAAGAAAAGGAATAATGTAAACGAAAAAGTATGAATAGCTATGTAGAATATATTGACATGACATTGACCACTACTCAATGATTCATCATTTTTAATTGTCCAATAGTAGAGGTCATTCAGTGCCTGAATACCTCAGTGGTAACATCTCAGACTGTGAAGCTGAATGATTCGGTTTCAAATACTATGAGACATGCCCTGCTAATGAGCGTTAAGTAGAACGAACCTTATCTGTAATGTTTCCTATGAACTTTAGAATTAGATCCATAACAGGTTACCTAGATATATCAGTCCATGGTAAGAAATACAAATAATAATGTCACGTTAAATCCATAAACCTATTAAAATCATATCAACCGAGTCCTACATCTAGCAATCAAAGTAAATGGTGAACAGATACCATGGTACACTTCAATTAACGGTTACATAGTTTATCATTATTAATTCACAAACAAGTATAGATTTGTGTAAGTCACATTCTAAATGAGAGAACTAATGATACTACTCAATCACATAGACCGAAATAGATAAAGTGAGATTTGAACCTAGAACACAATGTCTAATATTAAAATGTTTGGACAAATAAGTCACCTCAATAATATTTTATAATGATTACAGGCAATCAACGTAAATAAATGGGAAAAAAATGGAGAAATATTCAATAATAGAATAACCAATAATTATTTACCTTTAAATACTTCCTGAGCACACATAAGTGTTAATTCAATATTATCTAAATTTAATCGAGTTAAAAATTCACCTGAACGTATTAAATGACCAGATATTTTATGAAATGTTGGAAAATGACTAAGTATAATTGCATGTTCTTCAGGACTATGAAGAAAAGAAATTAAAATAACAAATTATGAAAGATATTATTAACTGAAGGGGTTTTTGTGAATATTATAGTTGAGGTCATGAGTCAATTGAAGCTAGATCACCGTTGAAAACTTGGAAGTATTGGACGGCTGTTTCGTCCTATTGTGAGACACCTCAGCAGTGTGAATCCACGATCTTAGCTCACGAGATTCGAACTCAGGACCTATCGGTTTCGCGCGTGAATGGTGGTCTAGCTCACGATATGAACTATTGAGATATTAATAACTGCTAAGCTGAGTAAGTTGTGTTATAAATGTAATGTAAGGGTGAATATAACATAAGACAGTCTTCAATAGAACTTGTACTATCTTAACTCACCAATGATTGTTGGTCAAGATCACAACAACAAAAGAAAGAATACAAAAGTATTACTCATGATACAATTGACAATGATAGAAAAAAAAGTCGTGAGTAATTATAGAGACTTTTATTGTACTCTTGAGAATCAGTCAATTAGAATATAAGTTTCCCTGAGCCTGATACAACGGTAGACGTGTCATTTAGAAAATTAAAAATGATAATTATTAAAGTCCAATTTTTGACTGAGAAATAACGTATTTCCCAACAGTAACAAATAATTATTTCGGAATTGATGATAATTAGTCTGGAAATAGTCACTACTACTGTAGTATATGCTACATATGTCGACTGACATCGGATTTAGATAGCCCGGCAGGTTCATATTGCTACGGAGGTCAGACCGCTGGCATTTATTATTTGTACAAAATAATGATTTTGAGATTTCAATTTACATATTGCATCATATAAGTATTCATATATTTTCTTGTTTTCTAGGTCTTATAACGTTTTACTTCAAGTACTTTTTAATATTTTTTATTAATTTCAACAGTTGAGATCACGAGTCAATTGAAGCTAGACTACCATGGAAAATCTGGAAGCACTGGATGGCCGTTTCGTCCCAGCATGAGACTCCTCAGCAGTGCACATCTACGACCCCGCCTTGCGGGATTCCAAGCCAGGACCTACCAGTCTCGCGCGCGAGCGCCTAACCACTAGACCACTGAACCGGTCGGCGTCCAATTGTGTTAATGTCTAACTTCAAATAATCCACGAGATTGAGCGACACATCCACCATTGTCATCAGTGAGTTACTGTCTCACAACAGACCCGATTGAAATCCACTAGTCACTGCTTCTCACTAGAACTCCAGGATATTTTTTCATTATTTGAATGGTGTTTACTCATTTATTTGCCCTTCTGATGATAAGGATTCAAACTTAATAGATTATTCAAGGTGGAACTTTGCACAAAAGTTACATACATATATGTGTAAGAAGTATTGATTAAACTTTTGGGACAACTGATTTATAAATTTGTATACATTGAAATGTATCTTTCCATTGTTGCTTCATTTTATATATGAGATGATAGAGAAGATTCGTAACTCAGGTGAATGATTTTGGTGGAATTTCGTTCTCTGAGCTGAATGGTTTGGTCATGGAGCTTTTATTGTTCTTCTGAACAACATCAGCAGCACAAACCTCAAATAGAAGCTGAATGTGTTTACGAGGTTAAACAAAACGTTTACAATGTATTGCAAAATTATTTATTCAACATTTAAGCGAAATTATCAAAGTGGTTATCATGATTTATTTCTCTTAAGAATAAGGGATGATCAGATATGACATTTGTGAACCAAGTACATTGCAAGATAATACAAATAGGTTATAAGAGCAAAATTGACTGAAAAAAAGACGTTTATAGATAAAGATGAGTGATAACGAATCGCTGATGAACAACATAAAAACACATACTACTTCTTCTAAAGTACTTCGAATGGTTAAATAGTCTTTATTGTAGACAAACATATACTAGTTAATGACGAGGATATGATTATTATTATTATTGTTATTATGACCATGTAATGTGTGTTTGCGAAGATTTTCAGCTCTCCTTAATGCTTCAATAATTGAACAGAAACAGATAGATCTGAAGGTCGAATTTTCGTCTCAATAATTGAAAGTTGACTGAGTTACCAAATAAATCAATTGTATTATTTATAAAACTTCACCAAAAGCCCTCTAGGTTTACTGTAAGACCCAAGTCCCTGTAAAAGAGGAGGGCTAAATAGAGTTATTAACCATACCCCGTAAAAAACAACCTCGCTTAGAAAAACCTAAATAGTATAAACCGATTCATCAATTTCAATTCTGCCCTAAGAGTTGAAAGGTCTTCATGATGAAAGTCGAGATTCTTCGAAACCCGCTAGACCAATACCTCTTTTGACAACTAGATCAACTTAAGTTGGTGACCTTTGTTCCATGAAATGTAACAGGTTTAATGAAGTAAATAATTATTTACAAATAAACTATATGTATATATTTATATATATGTACAATTGACTAATCAATAAACTTACGTAAAATCGAAATAATTATACCGTGTTCGATCTTCATTCACATAATCTCGGCTAAGTTCCAATAACATAATCGGATACATAGCACTTCGAACAAGTTGACGTTGATCACTAATTTTTAAGTAACAAAACCCTACAAAAAATAATTGAAAAAAAAACATTAACGGCAACAATGTAGAGTTATCAGCATGGTAATAATAATAATAATAATAATAATTCAATCGATCCAAAATGAAGTAATTTGAAACGAAATTTATTTAAACTACAACATAATGATCTATGAATTGAATAGCCAAAAAAAAGGAAAACGGCCTGCTTGAATATCTGGACTATCTGTTCCCGTCATCTAGATATTTCAACAAGTTATCTGCTTTTTTTATTTTAACACATCATTATGTCTATTAATCGCATAACGTATTCAGGAGCGTTTATGAAAAGCTTAAGACCTTTCGCTGTACAAATTATAAAAAAAAACAAGTACAAGCAGAAATAGAGATATTGGTACAAGGAGGCATCAAATATGTATGCGCTATACAAATCATTTGATTTGTGTGAGAGTTTGGATACTGTCGGGATGCCTAAACTGAAGCAGGTGGTTTTCTTAGGAAACCACTTTCCTCAGGATCTATCAGTCAATAGAGAAAGGAAACTTGTTGAAATACTTTTTACTGACAATTTTATATTGTGCCAAAAATATAATATTGAATAACGTCATTAATAATAATAATAACAATAATAATATAGTTAAGTACAATCATGGTTTGATTCCGGCCTAGAATAATTAATATATTGTTGAAGCGATCTAGATTTTTTGATCCCCCCAAATGCCCTGGTACGACCGAGAGTGGGTAGAGTCCGCTTTCCCTCTCCAAACGCTCTCACATGACCACGTGCATACAACCACTCCCAGGGAAGTTCTATTCACTGCCTTCTCGCTGCATTTCTGATGTTTACGATTGCTTCTCCTTACGTTGCTCCACTGCCTAGTGGATCGGACCTTTAGGTCGAAGGCTCTGGGTGTGGCCCCCTAAGAAAACCACCTGTTTCCGTTTGGGCAACTGGACAGTATCCCAGCCCTCACACAAATCGACTGATTTATGTGGCGCATATCTATTTGGTGCTTCCTCATACCATTGTATATGTGTTTAAATAAATAAATAAATAAATAAATAATAATAATAATAATAAAAGATTATTTTAATACGAAAGAAATCTATTGTGAACTTCACTTCATGTCAATTAACACACCCACATACACTCCTACAACAATAATGAACGATGATGAAATCCAAAAATAAGTTGGTAGAAATAGGGAAGAAAATTGATATTTATCAAAAACATATATATAGTAACCAGGACATGACCTTAGGGTATACCGAAAATTAATAAGCTAAAATTATCTATATCCGATAAGAGAAAATATTGAATTATTAAAAGAGAATATTCGTGGTTATCTCTGTACAGATAAGAACCTAATAATAACATTTAACAAAACTAAATCATTTGGAAGTCTTCTGAACAGATTTAAATAAAACACCATCAAAAGTAGTACTATATGGAAAAAATTGTACAATATATATATATATATATATATATATATATATATCGATTTTTTTTGTAATAAAGTATAGATTTGAATGTTGGGGTAAGTACATTTAACAAACCTCATGGACATTGAAGTAACAACGAGAAAGATATGGATATAATGATTCATAATAAGATAATTAAGTAGTATATTATTAATTGGTTTATTCAATAATCTCTTGTATACTTGGAGAATTTGTTTCATTTTACCGTTAGAATAGTCAATGAGATTTGTACCTTCATCCGTGCAGACTATTTTTCCAAATTTGTGTAGTGAACGAGAACTCAGGTGTGTGGAGGGGGGAAACCTATTTATTGTTTATTGCATACTTCCACAGTGTCTTTGTAAAATATGAAGAAAAACCATACATCATAGTGTGTACGCTACTTATACTGACAGGCATAAGTAGTATATAACACTAATCGGAAATGGAATGCCTACCAAAAGAAGATTGAATTAAAGAGAACAGGAAGAGAAACTGAGAGCAATTGGAATAGTAACAGAGTTAAAAGAATGATGGAGTATGTAAAGAATAACTGATGGAAGATGTCAAACTAATGTATTTAATGTATGATTTTTATATTTTACAAAGGTACTGTGGAAGTTTGCAATAAACAATAAATTGGTTTCCCCTTACCTGAGTTCTCGTTTACTATATTATTTGCTCTATTTTCATTGTATAATACTTGTGTTAAGCATTGTATTTCTCTTTAGCAGCATGGATTCTATAATGTACATGTATTATGATTTGAATAATGAAGCTATAAGAAAATTGTCAGTGGAGTAAATCATTCATGTTTGATAAAATCAACACTTGTTAGTGTAAACTTAGTGCTTAACCAATACAGTATAGTCTTACGTCCGATAGTTGAAACCAAAGTATAGTAGAAATTAATGTGGAAGAGTAGGGAATATTCAAGAATTTACAAATTTTAACGGTGATTGTTAGATAATCTTTAAAAAAAACCACATTGCCACTTTAAAGAATAAATTAAACAACTGTTAAGATAATCGAAATTTACAGTCCAAGTGGATGATCTTGATGAAGTTTTGTTCTTTCAGCTCAATGAACAAAACTCAAATAAACAAATGTTCTTAAACAAAACATAGGATTATCAAGTGGAAATAAATCTAATGTAATAGAATCAATAATTTGGAATCATAGAGAAAATTTATGGCTCAAACGGATGTTCCAATAGAGTTGAGTTCTCCAAGTTAGATGGTTTAATTAAAAGAGCTCTCATTGGTTATGTCTAACAACATTTTTAGTATCGATTTCATGTAAAATTCAGTCAGTCAGTAATAACGTGGAACTTCCCAAGTACGTACATCAGTTCGAGCTGCCATACCATATTAGCACAGAGATGCAGTTGTCGATTTAAATACCATAGTGGTAGAGGTAGTAAGAATATGAGCAGTAATCCTAAAGATTAGGGTTTGAAAATGTTATTCAAGGAGTATAATCCAGTGAAATAAATTTGGAAAGAGGAAAAAAGGGACATGAAGAATTCAGGAGATTAGAATTTGGGAGAACATAAAGATTGGATGCGCCTGAGCCATTGCAAACGATTTTGAGCTATGTCATTCAAGGTTTTTAACCAACGGTTGCTATCATCTCGCGGATCCCAACCAGGTAGTTTACACCTATTAACATGACTCAGTCCACTTGTCAGTGACTTCATGGATTTGTTCCATGTTTCGGCCACAAATTATATATTGGTTCATTCTGATAAGATAACTATGAAACTCACTTCTACACAAAGTAGGAGTTTAAGTTATTGTTCAGAATGACAATAAAAGTTTAAACTAACACTAAAAAGAATTGATTAAAAGAACATTTAAAGTATACTTTTAGTTTAATGTACGCTAACATATTACATACTTCATAATAGTTTGTGTTTTGTTTTAAAAGGGGAAGTAAAAGTCTCATAATAAGAGATAATATGTGTGTGTGCATGAATTCCGCCTGAAGCCCCTCCGGAGTTACTGCCAGTTTCAAGCCCAGATAAAGGAGGAAGGTTGAGCATAGGGTTAGCGACCGCACCCCGTAGAAAACTAACTCGCTAAAAAAACGCTAACCGGAAAAAAATAATTGAAAGCATTGTGTGTGTACTGTGTAGACTATTGGCGATGATTAAAATAATCATCAGTTATCATTGAGAAGAATATATAACAATTCTGGAATAATGAATACACAAATTCCGAAAAATTTATCTTTAGAAAAAATGTTGCATTTTATTATTATTATTTTAACTATTTTGTCGCAATTGTTATACAGTTGCTTTATTGTTAAAAGTGAATCCATTTAAAAGAAAACAGGGAAAAAAAAGGTGTACCGGGAAAGTACATTTGATCTAGTTTGACAGATAGCGCCTAATGTGTATTTCTCTATTTTTCTTTTTTTAAAACAAAAAAAAAAAATAACGGATAACATTAAATCTTTATACAACTGTATTACTTGATAAATTCAAAAAAAAAGGAAAAAGAAAAAAAATTAGTCAGTAAGTTAGTCATACATAAAACAATGTAGAACATAACAATGTTAACATAGAACACTTAAAAATGTTTACCACAATTCAAAATGAAATATATAGAAAGAGAAAGGAAATTAGTGATAAGTAACATAACAAATAGACTATATATGATATAGGGATTAGTAGTACAATCTATAATAATTATTCTAGACTAATCAACCTACCACTACTTTACAGTGTTAACGTTCCATAATAGAACTCGAACTCAGACAATAAACAAAATAGACAGTAATAGAAAAAATAAGTAAAACAGAAATATTTAGCTAAACATGATGTATACAAATCATTAAACATTCATATATGTCAGTAAGTAATGTATTTTAACTAACTAAACAAACAACTAGTCATATTATAATCAATATAGACCAATAACTTTCAATCGATAGGAAACAAGTATTCATGCTCTATTTCATCTACTATCGTTTAAGCACTCAGAGATAATGTAGTGTCATTAGACCTCACACAAACAATATAGCTCAAGTTAATGTGACATTTATCTAGGTATTAAGTGATGATTGAGATCTACAGATTAAGTTGGATACATCTCTAAGTGACTCGACATTAAGTGCATTGTGTTGAAACTAGTTGAAAATAGTTAACAGAAAGCTCTGAACCTATTTTTCGTGCTATTTGGCACTCATCGCTAAATTGAATCCATTAGGAAAAATCAACACCCTTGAGATTACAGATATGTGTTGCTGGGGGGTACTAAATAGCACGAAACCAAAGTCGAGAGCTTTCTATAAGCTATCTCGTCCTTCCGATCACCTAACAATATAACCCAAGATCAAGTACATAAAACCTACACTTGGTAAGTGAATAACTTCAAAGTTACTCAATATCGAAATAAAACGAATCGTAATGTGCCACATCCATTTCTGTAAGTGTGCTTTTGTTGCTTATAAATCAAAAGTAAAATATGAAAACAGCAAGGAATTAATTTAATAGTAGTGAATCTTCACAAAATCTTATCACATTGCGAAAAATCGCTAATAATTTCTAATGTCTCAGTAA